GGGGCAAGGTTTCTTTGTTTCAGGAATTGCCCAGGAGCCCTTCTGGTGCCTTGTTGGAAGCGTGGAAGTGGGGTGAGCCCCCGCTCGCGACAACCATTCCCACACAGTTGCACCCTGGCACCAGGCGCGCGCAGCGTTTTGTTTTAGAAGTTCAGGGTTGCTGCGCGCAAATTTGCATCCGGCCGGATGTGTGGCACGTGTTGTGTGACATTCGCCAAGCAGTGCTCCGTCCCGTCACGTGCTCTCCACACAGACATAACCCCCGCGGGCCCTTCTTCCCCCAGCATCGACTGGTCAACCAAGGTTGTTCTTGCATGATTTTCAGAAAAAAGTGTGAAGCGCAGCTAAAACGAGGCCAGTTTACTGAATTGGTGTTCATGAACTTGCGCAGTCTTTCGGCGGCAAACAGGATGACCTCGGATGCCTCTTGACTGACGTTCTGCTGAGATCGTTCTTTTTAAGCTGGGCCCCGAAGAACAACAGACAGGGTTTGCCTTTCGAGCTTCTGACCGTTGTTTTTGGCTGCAAAAGCAGGGGTTGGGAGAGGCTTGGAGCAAGGCAGCAAGACCAGATTTGATTTCGGAGGAGTGACAGTGAAACTCACAAGGTTCCCCAGGGACATGGACCAGGCACCTTCCCTCAGCTCGGGAGTTGTGTGGTTCAAACTGGCAGAAAAGCCGACGGAACAGTTGGCAAGAGTCAAGAACCCCGCTGGCAGCCAAACAGCGGTCCCGCAGTTTCGGGAGTGAAGAAGACCGAGACAATTGATGCCGAGAGTGGCTGCCTTCCGTTTTCTGCAGCACATGTAGCTGCTTGTGGAGGTGCGTTGCTACGCACTTTTCCATCCTTGCTTGGGGAGCAGCAGAAGCACTCGCTGAGGGGGTTGCAGAAAGGGCCGGGACAGATTCTTTCACAGGCTTTCGGGTGTGCCTTTCCTGGGCACCGCCTTTGTTGTTTGTTCTCCTTCAAACAACCCACAGGCAACAACAAGTTGTTTTGGGGGCCCAGTTTAAGACATGCGTGTTGGGGTGTTTTGTTCGGCTGGCGATTCTGCGCCGCTAGGATGCCTTGCTCGCCAACTATGCGTGGGCCTGTGCTAAGGCGAGGGAAGGGTGACGGACATGTCAAGAAATGCTTGGCCCGTGATTGTGGCTTGTTCCTTTGGGGTGGGCCAAGGCAAGCTTTTTACTTTAGGCTAGCCTGTTGAGGGGCATATGCTAACAATCGAAATCAACGGAAGTTTCGTCGAAGCTTCTGGTGTACGGAAACTATCTAAAAGGAAGGCTTGCGCAGATAGATAGCTTCAGAAGATCAGACGTTTAAAAAAAGCTCTTGCAAGCTCACAGAAGGTCAGACACCGCATGCGGAAAGATAGCTCTTGCAGAGCTTACGGAAGATCAGATGGCCCTTGCAGATGGCCTTTACCATGAATGCGTGCGAGAAAAATGTCGGTGGTGGATAGAAATTGTGAAAAATGGTGACTGGGTTTGGCGGGCCTGTGTCTATGTCAGCTGGCACGGGTGCGGCGCGGGTGCGGAGAGGGCGTGGCGCCCGGCCCACTGCGCAATGGCAACGCGAAGGACTCACAAGGCTTGGATTGCGCGGCAGGCGCAGCACTTTCCCACGTTCAGGTATAGATATCGTGGCAGCTGCAGCGAATTCGCAAGGTCAGGTGCAGATTGTGTAGCAGGCGCAGCGCTTTTGAAGTAATTACCAGGCGCAGATTTCGTGGCAGACGCAAGGCTCTCGCAGGGTCATGCGCATCACTTTCGCAAGGTCTTTGCAAGAGAGTAAGATAAAAACAGAAAAAGAGTGAGAAAGACAAGGAGAAAAGAGAAAGGGAGAGAGAGAGAGAGATAGAGAGATACACAAAGAGAAGGAGAGCAACAGAGAGCGAGAGAGAGCGAGAAAGAAAAACAAAGGGAAAGAGAAAATGGCAAGAAGGAAGGAGAAAGAGAAACAGAACATAGAAAAATCAGGAAAGAAAGAGAGAGAGAGAGAGGCAGCAAGAGAGCGTGAAAGAGAAAGCGAGAGAGAAAGGCAAATTGGGAAAGAAAGTCCAAGATAACACGAAAGAGAGAAAGAGCAAGAGATGGAGAAAGAGAGAAAGAGAGAAAGAGAGAAAGAGAGAAAGAGAGAAAGAGAGAAAGAGAGAAAGAGAGAAACAGGAAGAGAAAGAGAAAGAAGCGAGAAAAACAAAGACAAAGAGAAAGAGAGAGATACTCTAAGGAGACAGACAGTGAGAAAGAGAGAAAGAAAGAGAAAGAGAGAAAGAGACAGATAAGGAGAAGGGTAAAGAGCACTGTAAAGAGAGGGAAAGACAGAGAAAGAAAACGATAAGCAGAAGGAGAACGATAAGGAGACAGACGCAGAGAAAGAGAGAGAAAGAAAGATAAATGGAAAGGTAAGGCTAAAGAGAGCGAGAAAGAGGGGGAAAGAAAGAGAAAGATACGGAGAAGGAGAAAGAAAAGGAGAAAGGAGAAAGAGAAAGAGAGAAGGACAGAGAACATGAGAAAAAAGAGATAGAAAGAGAAACTAGAGGACGATTGGCCCGAAAGCATTTTTCCCCAGGTGCTCATCCAGCCGCGGAGACACCTTTTTACATCGCTGGCGAGCGTGTCTGCACGTGGCGATGCCCAATCTGTATGGTCACATGAGAGCTCCATCTCGTCGTCCTACGAGAGGAAACATGGCAGTGCTCGATCCCACATATTTACATCCGTTAAAACAAGAAGAGTAAAGCTCGTAAAGCTCGAAACGAATCACAAGCAAAAGGAAAAGAAATCAATAGCAAAGCTTACACGTCGATGCTTCGAAGGTGCGCTGCCCGCAGTCGCCGCTGCTGCGGGATGCCCGAGTCTGACACAATAGACGGCCACAGTTTCTGCAAAGCACTTGGCTCTGTGCGAGATAGCTCTGCGCAACTTGGCTCTGTGAAAGGTGGCTCTACGCAAGCTACTTTTCGCGATTGGCTCTGCGCAGCTGGCTCTGTGCAAGTTGGCTCTGCACGAGTCTGCTCAGCGCAATGTGCTTTGCGCGAGCTGCGCTGCCTGCCGGCCACAGTTTCTGCAAAGCACTTAGCTTTGTGCAAGATGGCTCTGCGCAGCTTGGCTCTGCGAAAGTTGGCTCTACGCAAGCTACTTTTCGCGAGTGGCTCTGCGCAACTGCTCTGCGCAACTTGACTCTGTGCAACTTGGCTCTGTGCAACTTGGCTCTGTGCAACTTGACTCTGTGCAACTTGGCTCTGTGCAACTTGGCTCTGTGCAACTTGGCTCTGTGCAGCTTGGCTCTGTGCAACTTGGCTCTGTGCAACTTTTCTCTGTGCAACTTGGCTCTATGTAACTTGTCCAAGGGCGCCGCGCGGAAGAACCCTTCGCGATGCTTTCGGGAAAAGAGAAGGACAATGAGAAGAGAGAAAGAGAAACACACAGAGAGAAAAAGAGATAAAGTAAAGAGAGCAAGAAAGAGAAGAGAAAGATGAGGAGAAAGAGGGAACGAGAAAGAGAGAGAAAGAAGGGAAACAAAGCAAAAGATCAAGACGGCAAGGGAAGGAGAGAAAAGAGCGAGGCCAAGTGAGAGACTGAGAACACGCGAGAGGCAGAGATAGTGAGTAAGAAAAAAGGAAAAGATAAAACAGAAAGACATAGAAAGGCAAGGAGGAAGTGGAAGGGAGGAAGAGTTAGAGGGAGAGAGAGAGAGAGAGCGCGAGGGAAAAAGAAAAGAGAGAAAGGGATAAAGAGAAACAGATGGGACCACCAGCTCCGCCGGCTATATGTGATACTGAGCGCGGCAAACTAGAGTCTCAAGTAGGGTGACCTGAAGCAGATGTTGTTTGCGCCCTCATCCATGATGAGTGCACCCTTTGCAGGGGAACCACAACGGATGGACTGGTGAAATCGCATAAATAACCATGAATCTCCAGAGAACCCTCCCCCAAATGGTGGTTGCACATGTGTCCCCATGTGCATGCTTACCATGTGACCCCGCATCAAAATTCGAACCCAATTCAAGCAGTGGTACCAAAATGCGGTATATAGGCTTGATCAAGGTCGCCATGGTTTGCAGTTGATTGGGAGCGCTGCCACTTGCGAGTCCGGGCTCTGGGCTTGTACTTATATACCAGTTGGCAACAGGATTTCAGTGGTACACATCAAAATCAGCCTTGGTGTTGGGCCATCCGCTCAGGAAGTGAGATGTGTGTGGATTCCCCGCAGAACCGCAACTTTTTGAGTTTTAATAGCGTGATCATCCCTTGCATGTGGCTGGTAGTCGCAGAACTCCGACACTGTAAATGATGGCCACCAAAGGGTTCGCAATCAAACCACAGAAATATATACGTTGTAGTCCAGCATTTTGGAGAGGACGATGCAGGGGGAAAGAGATGAATTCATTTTTTCTGGAAGCCCGCCTAATCGCTTCGACAGTTGGGAGGCGTGATGCAACCATCGTCGCCCAGAGTAGGGCAAAATGTCTTTCAACAACTACAGTAGATCCTTGTCTCTTTACAAAATACAAAAGGAGGCTGATTGAACAACATATGTTTAGATATGGCAGGTAAAGCACGGTCGCTCGGCCTTCCCTCACGCGTCCTTGATTTGCCTTGATTCCTGCTTAGTCGGTGCTGGTGATCTCCGTGATGAGAGGCTGTTTGACAAAGCCGGTATCACCCTGGAAGGTTATGGCTCTCTGCTTTCAAGCCTCTTATTTGAAGAGGTTTGCGAAAGGGGGGCAAGTCCGACTGTGTCCATCTCCGCCCCGTCAAGAATCTGGCAAAACATAATTGCTGGCTACGACCAGCAGAACTGGCATGCAGTGTTTATGTGAGATGTGCAGTGTTTATGCTCGGGTGTTATCGTCCAGCAGCATGAGGCACATGTCCGCGCACTCCTCGGGACTGCCCCCAGGCATTCCCCAGAAGTCGGAACCGCCCCGCGCATCCCCGGGCATCGCAACCCAGCCGCCATAAACCACGCCTCTGGGCAAAGACCCCATAGCATAGATCTATTCGGGAACAAGACAGGGACCTGCTGACCTGATCCTCTTTGGGCTTCCTTCAAAGAATCCTAAAAAGGAAGCCCTCCAGGAAGCCCTTCAAAACATGACACCTCAGTGTGAACTTTCCGCACTGCATAGGCGGACCTGCGCGAACCAGAGCCGGGGACCCGCTCGGCTGCGCGGGTTCCAGTGGGCCAATGGCCAAACGGTGGATCCCAAAACGTTTCGGCGAGCATAAATCCCCATTTACATGACTTCCACCATAGGATCAGTCTTGTTGATGGAAACCTTGAAGCAAAAGAGGAACCGTTTGTTTTGGGGGGTTCACCCAAAGGCAGCCACAGGGGGATGGCCACGATTTTCAAGATTTCCTGTTCCGTTTACTGAGGACCAAGACGGTCTGTCCAACATGGATCGACCTGAAGTGTCTCTTCGGCTTGTGGTTAGCGGAAGCTGGATGCTGGAAGTGTGATGAATGGGTGTTGTCAAAACTGAGGAGCACCTTTTTATAGAAGCAAGAAGGTGTTTGTAGAGCAACAGAATAACTAAGCTCAGACATGGCTCATGCCCTATGTCATTTGGCTCCAGCATTCTCACAATCACAAGGCAATTGCAGACGCGCAAGCCGTGTTTTTCCCAGGAGGCTCAGTCGACATAGCCAGCAGTTGATGGTCACACGTTGGCCAGTTCGGCGGCTTTCGGTCCCTTTGTTTTTCGCAGGTCCCCAAAAACCATCAACCTTTGAAAAGAGGAAACGTTACCAAGTTCACTCCCTCCCCAACCTTTGCGCACTCCAAAGAACCAACCTCCCAGGGAGGACAGGGGCGTTTTTCCATAGTGTCATTTGAAATTGCCGGCGCCAGTTCGCCAAGTTTCGCGGGCACCTCCTGATTGAATTGCCATTTCCCGTGCTCGTGTTGTTTCGTGATTTTTCGTGATTTTTCGTGATCACGAGCAGTAAACATGTCTGAGTCTTTTTCAGAACCTCAAGCAAGTGGAAGGCTAGAGGCCAAAGCGTCGTGGTTCCATTTCTCATTTGGAGACACGAGTTTTATTTTCTTTATATCCATTACCTGCCATCAACCGCTCCACATGTGTCATAGCCAAAAAGCAGGTTTGTTGACCATGACACTGGAGGCTCATTGGGCTGGTTCTCAGCAAAGCTCGCGAGGCGCTTGGGCGGATTGGGACCAGTTTCCGTCTGTGGCTTCCCAGCCCCTTTGTTGAAGCTGTTTGTTTGGGGTTGCCTTGAAAACCGGGCATAAACACCAGAAGAAAGGTGCAAGGTTCATGTATGCGTTCATTGAGTGAGGGTTGTGTGGGCTGTCAACAGGATAGACTCCTTCCTCTACACGGGCGAAGACACAATCTCGGAAAGGTCCAGAAATATATGTTGCACTTGTTTGAACGAGTTGGACACATGGGAAGAGAGGGCCCATTTCAATTTCCAACTCGTTTTGGGTGTCAGGCGCTCCCTAGGGCGGATCCAGCAACAAAGGCAACAAGAACCCCTCAAGCGTGGCAGCGCTTCCCGCGTATTGTGAGTGATTTGAACCCTGGACACAGGAGCGTATTGAGCCCCAAATTGGAGTATTGCTGCTGCGACCTGCCAGCACAACCCCCACAGAAAAGTACCCTCCAAGAGAGGAAGTAGCTCGTGAAGCAAAACACATCTCTACCTTTTGCATACGTTTGTCGTCCTAAGGGCTAACACAGTGTCATGTTAAAACGTATAGCTTCAGGTCTTGGGGCCCCCTAGCCAATGCCAAATCCACGGAAGTGGGCTTGTATCAAAACTAGCTGAAACTGCCCCAAGGAATTATCAACTGACTGAGTATTTGGAGGAACTTGTTCTTTTTCTGTCAAGCATGGTGATCGTCACGCACTCACGCGCGTAGCGCTTAGAGGGGCACCAACCGCGATGGTCCTTCGCGGGCAATGAACGTCGAACCGATATTACTCCATACAACCCTCAAAAGGAGTTGGTGCTCTGCGGAACCCTTTTGTTCGAGCTACTGCTAGAGTTGTATAAGGCTGCTACGCACGATGGTCCACATAAAGTTTGGACTAGAAGAGAATCAGGCACTTTTCCGGGCGTAATCCCAGGACGCCCCGGAGATTCGGTACTCTCCCGTGGTAGTTCCTGACTTTTGCTGTTTGGTGACAGTCGCGCCCTTGCAATGCGCAATTCGTCGAAGCAAGTGGGCGGGCCGCTTGCGAACTTGCCTAGCTGCTCTTGAAATTGCAAACGTGCCCCAGTTTCGTGTTGGTGGTTCTTCAGGTTCTGTCTTTCAAACAAGATGCTTCGCGCTAGAATTGAAGCCCATCCCAAACTGCTGGAGGAGCCTTTCTTTCGCAGTTGTCCGATTCTTTCCAAGGAGTATTTTTCCGGCGCGGCCCAGCAACGACTGTTGATTTTGCAAGGGCTTGGTGAACCGCGGAATGAGAGAAGCCTTTGCTTGTTTGTCAAGTTCACCCCAATTGAGCAGCGCCCTTTTGACCTGCCGGTGGCCATTTTCGCATTCGGATTGGCCACCATCTCCATTTTGAGCAGGCTTCGAATCAGGCCAAAGTTTTTGGGCACTGCTAATGTTGTTTTCTTCGGGGGTGTGCCCCCGAAGTTATACCCCAACAATTTCCTGGGAACCCATCACCCCCTTGTTGGCCACTTATACAAACTGTACATGGTACATGTTTTTTTGGGTTAATGTAGCTTGGCCAGTCCTTAGATCCTTTGAAAACTATTGGATGTGTCCAGAGAACCTGAAAGATAATTGTTGCTGGCTTGGTGGGGGCAAGACCCCCTTACTTAAGGCTGGGTCCCCTAAAGCGCTGAGTTGCATATGGTTTGGGACAGGTCTTGCTATGCGCCTTTGCACACACAGTGCCTGGCGGTTTTCTTCTCGCACGTAAGGGCTTCTCCCACTGGGAGAGCCGTGGGCGCGTCATGGTGGCGTGGGCGCCCGACGGGAAAAGGGTACTCACGTTAAAAAAAATCCAGCCCCTTCATAGAGAGTGGTTCACATCCATTAAATTAAGGAGGCCCTGTTTTCAAGATTTCGATTGGTTTCTACTCCGGAATAAAATAGTATTGTGGCATTGCTTGTGAGGCCAGCCGGAAGATTTATTTTGCCAGTTGGTGAGTTAGTGGTGATGTCTGCAGAACAGTACGTATCAGTTTCGGATGTGATGGAGGATGACCACCGTTCGAGGTTTCTCATTGGCGCAGACATGTATTAGTGGAAGGGAAACCGTGGCTGAATCTACGGGAGTTGTTTAGCCAGTCAAGTGCAAGGGATCCCAACTGCAAGACAGGTGTCCTACTTTAAATGCTCCTTTGACTTGGATGATTGAGATGTGTTTGATTTTTAGGACTGGTATATGTGTGGTTTTGATAATTGCCACTTTGAGGAGTGATATTTGTTTGATGACTTTGATTGTTGTTATATGTTTGCCTTGGAGTCTATCCCTTTTAGCTGTGGGCGGGGAGTGGAGATTGGAGTGGGGAGTGGAGTGGGGAGTGGAGTGGCGAGTGTGGAGTGTGGAGTGTGGAGTGCGGGGCGTGGGGACTGGGGCGTGGAGCATGGAGCGCAGAGGGCGGAGAGTGTGTGTGTGTGTGTCTATGTGTGTGTGTGTGTGTGTGCGCGTGTGTGTGTGGGTGTGTGTGTGTGTGGGTGTGTGGGTGTGTGTGTGTGTGTGTGGGTGTGTGGGTGTTTTTTGTTTTTGTTTGTTTGTTTGTTTGTTTGTGCGAGAGAGCAGTCTGACAACAAAGGCTTTGCGCGCGCAGGGCTCAGATAGCAAGACCTCTCTTTTAGGACAGAGCATCCGTTTTTTGAGCACGCAGGGGGACGCAGCAGGGGTATCCGACTGCGTCCAACGAAGCTGGCAAATGCCTGGGAAGCCGAAGTTGGTCACTTGGGTGTGCCTGCCAGTAGTTGCCAGACATTTCACCCGAATCTCGACCGATGTGCAGCCAGAAAAGGAGCTCTCCTAGCGTGTGGAATTCTACGGCTGCGCGCCGTTCGTGGAGCAGTCGTGAGCCCAGACGAAGTCTGGCCAAACAGCGACCTTTTCCTTGATTCGCCGCTGTGCGACAGCACGCGTGGATTTTCACCTTGATCTGCCTGATGCTGTCGACCACGACTGGATTCCGACCTGATCATTCCTGTGACCTGTTGTGACCTGGCTTGCTTGACTTGATCACCCTTGTGACCTGATGTGACCCGATTTGCTTTGACTGGGTCATTTACTTGTTCAGCCGGTTTTTCTGCGTGACAAGGCTGTGGAAAACCCGGAAGTTGAACGTGAAAACTTGTGAGGATCCATGAAAGCGTGGCATGGGCCTGACTCCCAATGGCCGTGAAAAGCTGCAATTGCGGTCGCGAGCAGAATCGCTTTGTAAATTGCTGCCGAGCAGCTGTCAAGAGTTCGCGCTCTTCTTGTCCGACCTGCCCGACGCGTCCGAGTGGTCCGATCGGCTCCGCTCCGTCCGATCAACCCTGCTGGCAGCGGATTCAGAAGTAACAGCGGGAATCTATAGACGCTCCAACGGTGCGCAAAGAACAACAATCGTCAAAAACCGCATCAGACGTCGCTGTTGGCAACGGGCGCCGGCAAAATGCATCCTTTCGCCCCAAACCGCTTTTCTCGACATCGCATCATTCTCTCGCCACAGCGCATCACTTTCAACAAGCGGCGTCAGACGGCTTGGCTCGTAGAAACGTCGCGCCAGCGACCTCATTGGAGCCTAGGAATTTAGTACCTTGGGACGCGGCTGGCTGCGAGGGCGCAGGAACGCTTGGCAGATTTGAGTAAAACCGCCCGGAAGCTGGGGTTCAAGGCGACGCATGCAAAGTGTTCGGGCTCAAAGGCAACTGCGTTCTTGGCAGAAAAGTCTTGGCCAAAAACAAGAGCATGTTTCCGTGCCTTTTCGAAAACGCGCGCGCTTGTGCCAAATGGGGCACGCCTTTTTTTGCAAGTGCCGCTGTCTGTTAAAACACATTTGACCGAGTGGGCTGCGTCGGCAAACGCTTTGCCCACGGCTTTGTGCGTTTTGAGGCAAAACACGGTGGATTTAGCTCAAGCACATGAACGATTTTTTTGTTCGACGCCAATTCTCTTGCTCCACAGCGACAGCGACGTCCAACCGAAGCAGGCAAGTCGCATCCACCCACAGCTTGTCTCTGCTGCGCTGCGCTTTGCCGCGCTTGGCCGCTCATCTTGTCGGACCTGCCTGGATCTGGCCACGCGACAAACAAGTGCTTTGAAATGTTTCGGGCACGCGTTCAGCTGCTCCCAGCAAAAGGCCAGCGCGCTGTTTGGCAGCATTCAGGCAAGCAAGAGTCAATCCTAATGGCAAGCATGCCTTCAACCTGTTGCCTGGATCTGCCACCTGCGGCAAGTCTGCACCGCAGTGCTAGCGACTCGAGGCGCTACATGGGCTGGCGCAAGGAACAAGCGCTGTAAATCGCGCAGCGGTCTTCTGCCCGCAGGCAACTGATGGCGCAAGCGCCCGCAAAGAGAAACGGAGGGCGGTGCAGATGGCAAAATCAAGCCGGAGAGGCGCAAGCGCGCGGAAGAGGCAGCAGAATCCAGCCGGAGACGTGCAGGCGCACGCAACTAGTTTTTTTCGGTCTTGACAGTGTTTGCGAGCGCACGTCGGATCGCGCTAGTAGGCTGCTGCCCGCGCCCACTTGTTCTCAAAGCGCGCGCGATGGCGCGGGATCCTGGCTGGAGCAACGCGCCAAGCCCGTGAGCAGACGGGGCTTGGCGTGAGGGGGCTGCGAGGTTCGAGCAACTTTCTCCCAACAAGTTCCGTGACACACGGCAACGAATCCAGGGTCCGGGGCTCAGGACTCGCGCTTGTAGAAACAAACCAACTTCCCCATGAAGAGATCCATCGACATGATGTCTATTAGAAGCACCGTCTAATTCGTTCCCACACTGGAGGCACGTGGACTGGATATGTCTCAACATGGTGGAGCCGCCAAAATGGTTGTTTCCCGTTTGCTGTGACAACATGTTTTTTGCACGCGGGTCGAAAACTGTGCCTTTTGTGCCAAAAGTCCCAGTTTGTAATTTCCACACGCACATTGCCTCGGAGGGCTCTCTGCGTGTTCAAGATCTGACTGTGCTATACATCGGTTGTTGCCGCCGCGTAAATCGTCAGCCTTTAAAGGGCAAAGAATGAAGCGACGCGTTGAGTTTGGGGAGCATTTGTTATTTGGCCGATCGTCACCGATGAGAAGATTGAAAGCTGTCTTTTGGGTGTTTTCGGCCATCGCAGACTGATTCTAGACTATCGCAGCTTGACCGAAGCCGACAAGCAGAGGGCTTCAGAGTTTTCTTGGAGTGGGCTGGGAGCTTGCCCTTGGTGTCAGAGAGGCTTGGATTTTTGCATGTTTCGTGAGGCCTGGGCCCAAGTCGCCGGCTGCCCTGCGACCCGCCAAAGCTGGAGCTTCCTCAAAGAGACCTACGAGGCCTAGGGATTGAAAAGCCGAACACAAAAGTTGGTACGCATTTCTTTTGCCTGCCTTTCAAGTGAAACCACGAGCCTGTCTCTATTTCTTTTCCTTGTTGGGTTGGGCAAACATCACTTTTGGGCGCAAACAGCACCATTTGCGCATGACAAACTGGTGGTCAAAGTCTGGGCATTTGCGGGGAACAAGGTCGGCCTGCCCCGTCAGTCAAGGGAAGAATGCCCCATGGCGATCTTTCGCAAACACATCTTTGCCAAACAACATTTTCCGAAAGCGTATTAAAACACATCTTTGCAGTAACCCTTCGGAACATTTCTCAGGGCGGCCCCAACCCTGGATTGGCCGTCCGACCCCATAGATGAAATGCAATTGGGTCTGTCTCGCCAACCGCAGTAGCCAGGGAGACTGACAGATAGACAGTTGCAAGGCCATTTGCAAGGCGCTAACTTGGGCCCTCTCACCCAATGTGTGTGACGGATTGGCCTGTTGCTTTTGTGTCCGCAGTCCGGCTTGGACTCGCTGAACGAGGGCCGCGCTGAGAATGCGACCGCTCACGCGGAGCAGCTGGCCGCTTGGCTTCCAAGCGACTCCAGGCAGAAAAAGCCTCTTGAGCGGCTGATGTTTAAAGCAGAGGACTTCCCAGCTGCTCAATTGGTATTCATCCAACTCCATGTTGCTTTGAGAAACTTCCCGGCTGAGAAGACTTGAGGTGACTGTTCCTTTCCGGGCGCCTCCGAATTGCCCCCCCCCCCCGCAAAAAAAAGCGATGTGTGACATGTATTTCGTAGAGTTTTTGTAGCACTGAGAGTTCGCAGCATTATGATGATATTGCTCATAATATGTCGGCACAGCTTTAATCAACACATGAACCTTACAATAAACTAAATTGTAAGAACTATGGGTTAAAGTAATGGTCAGGTAAGATGTCTTCAAATATGTACTCTCCATGTTTGCCAATGTAATCTACCTTAATATATAAATGCTCACGGGTGCATTTGCAGGCACCCCCCCATGTTTCTTTTCATTGTTTGCATGCACCCAGCCAGTCATTTGCAGGCAGTTCCAAGTGGACTTCTTGACGAAACCAACGCGTTGTTTTCGTCAGCCTTTTGCAGGAATCTTGCTGACTGTGTGTAGAATACTATGAAATCGGCCAGTTCTGGAACGTTCTCATTTCTGACGAGTTCATGTGATGACGCTTGGGTTCGTCATGGCTGCAATAGCTATATTTGCCCCTGTGGTCGTGGCGGTTGCTTTTGCAGCAGAGCTTGCAGTGGTCAAGATCACAGCCAGAAGAGAAAGGAGGCTCCGCTCTTACCAAAAGTAAATAAAGCGCACCCAAGGAACACTCTGTCTGATGAATCCCACATCACAAATGGTAGTAACCACGCCCACGGGAACCCTTTGTTTGATGAATCCCACATCACAACATGGTAGTAAACACACTCAAGGGATCCCGCTGTTTGATGAATCCCACATCACAACATGGTAGAAAAAAACGCTCAAGGGGACCCGCTGTTTGATGAATCCCACAACACAACATGGCAGGAAACACGCCCAAGGGAACGCTCTGTTGGATGAATCCCACATCACACATTGTAGTAAAACACGCCCGAGGGAACCCTCTGTTTGCTGAACCCCACATCACAACATGGTAGCAAACACGTGCAAGGGGGCCCTCTGTTTGATGAATCCCACATCACAACATGGTAGTAAACACACTGAAGGGAGCCCGCTGTTTGATGAATCCCACATCACAACATGGTAACGCCCACGCGAACCCTCTGTTTAATGAACCCCGCATCACAACATGGTAGTAAACACGCCCAAGGGAACCCTCTGTTTGGTGAATCCCACATCACAACATGGTATTAAGCGCGCCCACGGGAACCCTTTGCTACAGGGTGCTTGGTCTGACCAAAAAGGCGATTTGCTGAAGGTCAAAGAAACAAGATTCGCGTTTCGCTTGCGCAAAACGGCGCCTGGAAGTGCGCCCTTCGGGATATAAATGTATTCTACATTTTCCTTTCCAATTACAGCGTACATATACTCCGAAAAGAGTAGATTAGGTAGTAGACTTAGAGTAGACTTATGTGATATTTAGGGCTGTACTAGCACAATTTACTGTGCTTAGTTGCTCCAAATTCAATGAAGACCTCTTTTACTTTAGCTTTGCTCAGTATCTGCCAGCCAACCATTTCAAGAATATCACGCTACTTTTTAACAAATGGTTTGTATGGTTTGATGGTGACTTCACCCCCAAACCTCCTAATCGAATCACCAGTGCTAAAGAATTCACCAATTTACTTGTCAAATGACTCTGTGGAAGTGCTTTCGCAAAGGCATACAAGAAGTCCGCTTGGTATGCAACACAGGATTTTAGTTGTTTTTGAAAACTTCGTATGTTCCCTTATCTTTAAACTGTTCAACAAAACTTGTTCAAGGCCCCTGGCTACACACTTTCACAGCGTTCACACTTGTTATAGCAAAATAGCACTGTTCACTTACTATGTTAAGGCAACATTTGTTTAAGTTGGTTTTTTAAATAAAAATTGGACGTAAAGATCAAATACCTTACAAAACAGTACAGTTTGCATTGTGAACAATCGAAAAATATAGTATCTACTTAAAAATAGTAAGGCACCCATGCCGACGGGAGGCAACACAGAGTTAAATGCAGTCATTGCTGACAACAGTTAAGATGAACCAACTTAAAAAGCGAGAAGGTGAAAGGCTAACAACGATGAACACCGGAGTAATGAACATAATGGCGGCAGATGCTGTTGGGTATGTTGATGAAACGAGGGTCATACCAACGCCAGTTAAACAAATGTCCAACGAGGAAGGGTTAGATAAGAAATTTGAAGACAGGATCATCATATGACCCTACAAGAGCAGCAAGGTATATAGGTTTACATGAGTTCGTTAAACTTTACAAAAGATTGGTTTTTCAAATTGTGTGTTCAATGAGACATTGCAATAACCTAAGTGACTGTTTAATAACTTGGGATGGTGTAAATTTTCCTTCTGGGAAGAGGGACATTGAAAGACTTGAAGAAAGCAATGCTGGTCTGACATCAAGAAATGTTTGCGAAATTGTGATGTGTTAAGTGATGAAAAGGAAGTTCTTAGATATAGAACTGACACAAGCAATGCCTAATATGATACCGATTTTAAGAACTTATGATGATGAATGTAAAACACTTCGTGATGATTAAGAACTTAAGTAGGATATTCTGAAACTCCGTTTTTTCATATCGTTAAAACTTACGTTGCTCAAGTAATCCTAAACAAAGCCAAGGACATCAACAAACATATGAGCCCTACTCACAGAATAGTTTCTAGTTGCTCAAAATTCGGAAATGCTTATTAACTTCTGTTTTGGTCAATGTGAGTAAAGGCATGTTTTTGATTGCGTCTCTTGACAAAGTTGGTTAAGCTGAATACGTGTAATATAGTCGGGGTTGGTGATGGTGATAAGCCCGTTTATGCAAAAAGAGATGGCTGGGAAACAATCTTCAGTTACTCTAAATCAAAGTCTTATGTGAAACAACACTGTTTTAGATTTACCAACTGATAAAGGCAAATACCCATACGATTGTGAGTTCATTTGACTAGTTTCATGAAACAAAACCACCAAATATGGGAGACTTTTGTAGCCGCCTTCATGAGGAAGATGTTGATGATGAAGATTATGACAGAGCAACTGGCGTAATGTTTTTTTATATTGAACATCATGGAGAGTAGCACGACTTATACCTGATGACTGAGGTATACTTATTGACTGATGCTTTGAACACTTTTTGCATGTGCGTTTGCACTTTGACAGTTTAGGCCCTGCTCATCGTATAACTCTACCGTATTATGCTTGAAATGCACTTTGTTGTACAACTGGCGTTAAACCGCATGATTGAAGACGGTTTACGAGGCGGTGTGACAGAATGCACCTACAGGAAGAAAGAAGAAAGCGATACATATAATAATGAAGTATATGATAGTACACAACCATCTTGTTACATAAGTTGTTTAGATGTTAGTAACTTGTATGGACTTACTATGTGTAAGCAGTTGCCTTGTGGCATTTCCCTACCATGGACGAAAAGAAAAATTGTGAATTACAGTGCTGGGGATGACATAGGTTCTTCATTGGAAACTAACTTAGAATACCCTAAAGCAACACACGACTTACATAGATATTTTCCCTGGCGCCTGAAAGTATGAGTGTAAGTTAGAATTTGCTCTTTGATGCTCGAAAAGAAATTCACAAACAGTACCACAAAAGAAGCCGCAGATGCTAAACCAAATAGACTAGCACATAGAATGGACAAGAAATGTTGTTACAAATGCCAACTTTAAAGTTTTACTGCCGACGCGTCTTGGAATCAAAACAGTTTAACAGAGCATCACGCTTGAAAGAGGCGCACGCTCTTAAACCCTACATTGACTTCAACACAGAGAAGAGCAAGGGTGCTAAAACTAGATTTGAAAAGGGTTTGTTCAAGTTGATGAATAACCACAGGAAGTTTAGTTAGAAACTTCCAGAATATCTCTACACGAATACGCGAAGGCAAGCCCTGTTTTGCACACTGTCTCGCCACCGGGTCGGAAAGTTCACCATGGCGCGGCCGCGCCGACTGTTTCAGAGGTGCAAATCACATGGCAGGCACAGCACTTTCGCAAGGTCAGGTGATAGGTTGATAGATAGACAGGTCAATGGAGAGAGAGAGAGAGAGAGAGAGAGAGAGAGAGAGAGAGAGACAGAGACGGAGGTGCAAACCACGTGGCGGGCGCAGGGCTTTGGCAACCTGAGGTAGAGATTTCGTGGCCGGCGCAGCGATTTGTATTCCTGCAAGGCCAAGTACAGATTCCTGGCAGGCGCGACACTTTTGCAAGGTGAAGTGCAAATTTGTGGCAGCCGCAGCACGAACATGTCCTGACTGCCAACGCCAGCCCTGTCCAGAGAGCAACAAGTCCTGGGCAGAAATAATCTTCCAAGTCTGCGCTTCAAAGCAAGCCAGAAATGGCTTCTCTTCAGCGTCAAAACCAACCATGGGCTTGGCCACCGCAGACAACAAGGTGTCCTCTCGCACTCGCGTGACAGGCATTGACAGGCATTGTCCTCTCGCCCTCCGTTGAACTTCGCATTGGTCGCTTCTTCAGTGCTGGTGCAGAGTGCCAGCGCATAGTGCTAGTGCATAGTAGCGCCATCCAGGCTGGCCTGAGACGCGCCCTCGTCACACAGTTATCGCAGCTTGCGGGGCAAAAGTAGAAGGCTTTCAGTTGGGGCCTTCAAGACACTGAGTACCCCCACCGGAAGGGCTCACGAGGGTTTGGAAGTAGGCTTTCAGTTGGGGTGTTCAAGACTCAAGACAGGACCCTTCCCCTGGTAAGGAAATGGACGCGCGAACTGCTGCGTGCGGAACTTGTGGCAGGCGCAGCACTTTCGCAAGGTCAAGAGCGGATTTCGCAAGGCCAGGCGCAGATTTGATAGATAGGTCTTTAGACAGAGGGACAGATAGATAGGCAGATAATTTAGTAGAACGAATCGAAAGAGAAAGAAAGGGAGG